GCCCCTGAAGTTGCTTTTTCCTTGGCCTCTGCCACTGTACTTCTCTTCATATGTCACTTTCAGAGCTTGCTCATCATTGCTGTGTCTATTGAACTTCTGTTCATGAACTATCAGTGAACTCTGTAATTCGTCTATAGACATGGCATCAATATCTTTGGACTCTTCAATAGCACAGACAATATAATTGAACTTCTCTGTCAAAGACCTCAAAATCTTTTCAACCACAGTCACATCAGTTATCACATCTCCATACACACGCAAAGATATTCTGGATGAATGACTCACATTTTTATTGAACAAACTTGGCTATATATATAGCCTTACAGTACTTAACAGACCAGCTGAAATAAAGTTCACATTTAGCTAAAATCTCAACTAATCCTAAAGACTAGAGATTTATTTAACAGAAGCAAGACTGAGTAAACTAGACTCAGTAAACACCTAAAAACAAGCAAAAATTATCCTTTCAATCCCTCCCTTAAACTAACTGTGGTAGATAGTTAGTTTAGTTCAGCTGCCTTGCAAATCCCCATCTGACTTCTAAGCTTTTGAAAGGCATCCAACTTCAACAGCTTTGTCATCACATCTGCAGTTTGCTCCTCTGTTCCACAGTGTAACAACTCAATGGTTCCATCCTTAGCAAGCTCTCTCAAGAAATGGAACCGTACATCAATATGTTTGCTCTTCCCATGCATTACAGGATTCTTTGACAATTTGATGGTGGAGCTGTTGTCACACATGACTATGGTACCCTTCTTTTGTGCATGACCCAGCTGCTCCAAAACTCTTCTCATCCACACTGCTTGACTTGCACATCCAGCTGCTGCCACAAACTCTGCCTCTGTGGTTGACAGTGTAACAATCGGTTGTTTCTTTGAAAGCCAAGAAACTGCTCCAGAACTTAACAGAAAAACATAGCCGGAAGTGCTTTTCCGATCATCTAAGTCACCAGCATAATCACTATCTGTGTAGCCAATCAAGTCATCTGAACTCTCTTTCTTGTACATGATTCCATAATCAAAAGTACCCTTCAAGTACCTTAATATCCTTTTGGCAGCTTGTAAATGAATCTCTGTAGGCTTAGCCATGAACTTGCTGATCAAACTCACAGTGTACATTATGTCTGGACGAGTTGTCGTGAGATACATGAGGCTTCCTACAATTTGTTTGTAATATGACTCATTAATTGCAACTCCATCTTCATCCTTGCTCAACTTGCAACCTGGAACAATTGGACTATTGACTGCATGACTATCCAACATTCCAAATCGCTCCAAAACATCCTGTGCATATTTCTTTTGGCATATGAAGATACCATCAGGCTGTTGGGATACTTCAATGCCGAGAAAGAACTTCATTTTTCCTAGATCAGTCATTTCAAAAGCTTGCATCATTGAACACTTGAAACTGCTCATCATCTCTTCATCATCACCAGTATAGATTAGATCATCAACATAAACACTGACAATAAGTATTTTACCTTCTTTGCTACTTTTTGTGAAGAGAGTCTGCTCATTTGGACATCTTTCGAAACCTTCATTGACAAAGTAAGTTTCAATGCGGCTGAACCAAGCTCGTGGAGCTTGCTTTAAGCCGTATAGAGCCTTATGTAACTTGTAGACCTTGTCCTCACTTCCTTTGACCTCATAACCCTTTGGCTGCTCAATGTACACATCTTCATCAAGTTCACCATGAAGGAAGGCTGATTTCACATCTAACTGAAATATTTTCCAGTTTCTTTGAGCTGCAAGAGCCACCACCATCCTTACTGTCTCCATTCTTGCCACTGGAGCGTAGACCTCGGTGTAGTCTATCCCATATTTCTGCGTGTAACCCTTGGCCACCAAGCGTGCTTTGTGCTTCTCAAGCTTTCCATGCTCATTATACTTGGTTTTATAGATCCATTTCACCCCAACTTTCTTGGCTCCAGCAGGCAGCGTAACCAACGTCCATGTCTTGTTTTTCTGTATGGACTTAATTTCATTGTCCATTGCCTATCTCCAGCTTGCATTCCTCACTGCTTCTTCATAATACAACGGATCACTTGATACCATTAGTGCCATATTACTTTCATCTTCAGATAACCCGAGGCCCTCCCCACTAACATAATCCCTCATCCATCCTGGACGATTTCCCACTCTCTTACGGATACTACCTCCACTATCTTCACTATTCCCATTGAAAGGATAATTTTTGCTTGTTTTTAGGTGTTTACTGAGTCTAGTTTACTCAGTCTTGCTTCTGTTAAATAAATCCCTAGTCTTTAGGATTAGTTGAGATTTTAGCTAAATGTGAACTTTATTTCAGCTGGTCTGTTAAGTACTGTAAGGCTATATATATAGCCAAGTTTGTTCAATAAAAATGTGAGTCATTCATCCAGAATATCTTTGAGTTTTATTGTTTACCTCATCAGAGCTTCCCAACATATTTGGTATCAGAGCCACTGGGCTTGAGAGAGGAAAAAAAAAAAAGGGCAGCAGCTTTGAGTGACCACCAAAACAGAGAGAGATGTCAGATGAAGTAAAATTCGCACAGCCCGCAATTCCAATCTTCAATGGTCATTATGACCACTGGGCTATGCTGATGGAGAACTTCTTGAGATCCAAACAATATTGGGATCTTGTAGAGACAGGGTGCGTGCGACCAGTAGAAAGAGTATTGACACAGGCGCAGCAGACAAGTTATGGGGAATTGCAGCTGAAGGATTTGAGGGTCAAGAATTATCTATTCCAAGCAATAGATAGGTCAATCATGGAGACCATCCTGAAGAAAGACACTGCGAAGGACATTTGGGATGCTATGAAGAGGAAGTACGAAGGGAACACAAGAGTGAAGAGGTCGACTCTTCAAGGTCTCCGCAGAGATTTTGAAACCCTAGAGATGAAATCAGGTGAAACTATTACTGTTTATTTTTCTAGAGTTATGGCAGTGGCAAATAAGATGCGTGTGTATGGAGATGTGATGACTGATGTGACTGTGGGTGAAAAGATTTTGAGGTCTTTGACAGAGAAGTTCAATTATATTGTCTGTGCTATTGAAGAGTCCAAAGATATTCTGGATGAATGACTCACATTTTTATTGAACAAACTTGGCTATATATATAGCCTTACAGTACTTAACAGACCAGCTGAAATAAAGTTCACATTTAGCTAAAATCTCAACTAATCCTAAAGACTAGGGATTTATTTAACAGAAGCAAGACTGAGTAAACTAGACTCAGTAAAGACCTAAAAACAAGCAAAAATTATCCTTTCAGTAAAATGTCATGACCTATTAACACACGAATAATAAATGGATTGAATTGAAGTTAAATACAAACAATACAAAATTGACACAATTAATATATTTAATTGGTATTTTAAGAATCAAAATTTTTTATTACATATTTATTGTACAAAAAAATTATTTTAATTATTATGTGTAATTAAGTTAATTTTTAATTTATTAAAAAATATGAACATAGATTCAATTAAGTGATAATAGAATCTTAAACTTAAATCTTGACGTTAAATTTTTTATTTATTGATATATAGGTCAATACGAACATGACATAAAAATAAATAAATTAGGTCAACGCCATACAATTAATTAAATGAGGAAATTAAAAAACTGTGAATTCTTTTTTTTTCTGAAAAAATGCCAGTAAAAGCAACGACTTAACAGTGAGATGGAGATGCGGGGTATCGATCCCCGTGCCTCTCGCATGCTAAGCGAGCGCTCTACCATCTGAGCTACATCCCCTTTGACGGACAAGGGTGCCGCGAAGATTATATTGTTCCAATTCAATCTTCGGCTTGACCTTTCGTCGAACACTTCGATGATCGTTGTCTACGTTAAATTATATTTCATTGCTTCAGAAAGAACCAGTCTGTCAATCCTCTCTCTCTCTCTCTCTCTGTCTCGATACACAATACACACACTTTTGTGTTTTTTATCTTTCTTCTTACTGTCAACTTCTTAAAATTTATACTCTCTTCCGTTTTGATTTTGTGTGCGCTGCTTCTTTCTAAATAGGATTCATTCTTCTTTTCATACTGACTTCGCTTATTCTCCCGGGTCTCCTAAACTACGTAATTTTCACATTCTGCTGTTCTTATTAGATATATCCTCGGTTGTGTTGATAATGATGATGATAATACTAATGAATCTGATGTTCTGTCAGTTTATTGGTATTATTATAATTATGCCTATTGATAGTTTGAGTTATCTCAATGTAAAGGACCCATTTGATAACAACTTGGTTCCTCTCCACTACTAGACTCTTTCTATCACCCACCATGAAGTTAAATGGGACTCTTTATGTACGAACGGGCTTCTTACTATCGTATAGTGTGGAATTGAGGAAATTAAGGGAATCTAGTATGGGAGAGGTGCTAGTTCATTTGTGGCAATAACTATCCATGAAATTTTTTCTAGTTCATTTTGTCTTGGACCTATGTTTCTATGTTCTAACTAGTTCTTTCTCCATTGATTAGTGAGAAAGGAAATATATTGATGGCTAGCATTCAATGTTTGTTGGTCGTCTTGATTGATTATTTTCTTATGGTTATCTTCACATTGGTTCTATTTCTATCAGTGGATATTGGGGTTTATGTACTTTCACATTAAACATCTCTGAAGCAACTGGAATAAACACTCAAAAAAAAAAAAAGTCAGCTCTTTGTCGAACATGTGTTCAAAAGCTTGTGTCTTAATGCTCCTGCACATCTGTTCAGAACAAATCAAACATGTTTATATTTTTAAGTTAATTTTCATGTGTAAAGAAGAGTTGTTGGAAAAAATAGCATATATGCTAATTATAAGGTAATCCTGAACTACTCATGTAACTACAGTAACTCTTGGGAATACAAATTCCCCAAGAGCTGTAAGAAGAGGCCTGACAATATACAAGACCCTGGTAAATAACAAATACTAAGATTGGATGTAGTTTAATCAGCCAGTAATCTTCCTCTCTCTTGACAAGTAGGGAAGGCCTCAGATATAATGCCTGACTGGGACAATTAGACCTCTGAGGACTTATTTGCTATTTGAACTCCCTTTTGATCGTAAGGTCTTGTTGATTTGTACTTGTAGTTGTTGGCCCAAATGAGATAATGTAAGAAATTCAGTCCACTTAATATGCACAATAGCCAGTAAAACCTTTCAAGGTGACAGTGATTCAAGTTGTCGTCATAGAGCCATGGGGTATGCCTAAAGGTACCAGTGATTCTGTTGACCATTGATACGAGCACTGAGCTGAGATAGTACCCCATGGCCAACGAGGCCCAGGAGAGAGCTGTGGCCAAAGATCTCATGGTGAAAGGGGCCTCTGTGAAGAAGAATTCCATCATGCCAGCCAAACTGAAAAGATCAGCTGATCCAAGGAACACGTATTGCAAAGCCACCCAAAGGAATGTGATGGGCAGTGGTTTGGTGGAATTCATTAGGCCTGACTGGGCTGCCACTCTCTTTCTCTTCATTTTCACTAGAGCTGCAACAACCATGGCCACAACGGATAGAACAAGCCCTACTCCAATTCGCTGTAAGTGGGTGATACCCATTTTGGTTCGTGTTACCTTTCGGGTGAATGGGATGATGATATGGTTGTAGACTGGTGCGAGTATCATAATGAACAGAACAGGAAATACAGGAAGAGAAGCTGGTGGAACTGTTAAGGAGCCAATTTTAGTGTTCGTGGTGGCTGCTTGTTGGACAGAAAAAGTGGATAGCTGAGCAAGGCAGCAGTTGAGCATAATGGTAGACATGAAGATCGGAAGGATCTTAAGTACTGTCTTCACATCTTCTACTTGGCTAACAGAGCAATCAAGAAGTGGGTGGGCAGGCTTGTTGATCACTGCTCTATTAAGGAACTTAAGGTTTCCACTTACAGGGTGATTTTCTGCATTTTCTTTGGCATGACCCTCTTCCCCTTCACTGCTTTCAGTTCTATAAGATGAGAAAGTGCTCATGCTCACAGCATCACTGAGACCCCTAGAATCACATTTGTTGTAATTGCAGCAGCCATAACCTGTTGGTAACAAAGCAATGAAAGATATCTTTTCAGCTAAGAGTCGGCTACGTAGTTTTTTTAGTTAGGCTAGTGCTATATCTTGGCTATGGTTGTGATAGGGCTTCTTGTGGGAATTTTGGTCCTGTAAAAAGTAGAGCCGAGGAGGGAGATTGGGATGGAGATCAATATTGTTGCAGTGGAGATCCCAAATCCCCACTGCTATCCTTTGTTGTCTTCAATCCACACCACAAAAGTCACTGCAAGTAGTGCTCCACAGGAGAGGCAGAACACATAGTAATTGAAGAAGGTTGACCTCTGCTTTCTTCCATTTGGGGTATTCCCATCAAATTGCTCTGCTCCATGTGGGGGAAGTGAACCTTTTATCCCTCCAACACCTAATGCCACTACATAGAGTCCTACAAACAACATTGCTGCGTTCCCATGGTTGACTTCCTGGCAAGGAGTGTTTCTGTTGGCTGACATGCATGTTTCTGGATTCAGTGAAGGTATGTGAGCTTGCACTGTGAGTGTTAACAGACCCTGTTCCAAATTTTTCATGGGCATGTGAAATAAGATCTTTCACTTTCATAGCTGTGATAACCTGTTTAATACAGTAAATTTTATAGGCAGGTTCTAGTTTGTATGACTATGAAATGGGGCAAGAGTGTTGGACAGATACCTGTGAGGGTATTTTTACCACTTCAACTGATTGTTAAACTGCCGAAAGTACCTATATGTTTGGTTTCGTACATTTTGAAGTTTGACTCTTAAGGATTCAGATCTAGTACGTGATTTTCATTATCTTTGATTGCATTGGACTGTTAGGTTTTGCTAATTGTGCTCTTTTACATCCCTGAAGTTGGAACTATCTGTCTCATGACTATACAATAGGTTAATTGTATTTTAATATACTGCATGGATCAGAATTGTCAATTACACCAGCCAAACATCATACAAGAGCAATGGTAGTACCGCCTCTGGGACCTACTTTCATGAAGTGTGATTGGACCAAAGCAGTACGAGGCCCATGAATGCTTATTTGTTTTGTCTCTTTCTCTCAGTCTCAGATATTTTTATTGGTGAATATGGCTGTCCCCATGAGTGACAGAGTCATTTCTTTACACAAAATGTGATATTATGTTTGTAGTAGGTAAATTTTTTTTTTAATTTTTTTTCAGGTGGAAGTGCTTTTTCATGCTAGGAACTCTTAGCAGTACACTTCACATGCCTCTGTGTGAGAGTCCCATGTATAGTTAATCCTGCTAGAAATTACCCTGGCGGTTCTACAAAATGAGTCATATTCACCTATTGGCTTCTGCCTATTTAACAGTTATCTAGAAAAGGGACCTAACAGAGCCTAGTTGGTTCTTGAATGCGAAGCTTGTGGCTGTAGTCACTGATGGCCACGATTCAATATGAAGATGCTCTTTGTGCATCTTGTAATGGTTTTCACTGACTGCCATCTTGCCACTTGAAAAATGGGGGTTTTATCTTGAGGTTTCAGGTTTAGCGATACCGGGGACTATGGTAAATGGTAGCATGCAGATAACTAGATAACGTCACGGAGCTGCAACTAGAACTTGTGGACCTTTTTAATCAAGTAAATAAAACAAAATGGAATGAGAACTTAATCTTTAAAGTCAGCTTACCATAACTTCGATTGTAGCACTTATCAGATAGATGCAGTATGTGGTGAAGAAAGCATCTGCTAGGAAGCCACCAAGGAGAGCAAGGTGGAAGGCTGTTCCCATGAAATTGGTCACAATGTCGGCAGAACTGGATGGCAAAAAATGCATGAATTTCGACAGATAAAGCACAAGTTTGCTTGCATTGGCCAGGTATGCTAAGTTCTCCAATATCTCAACCACTAAAGGGTGACAGTGAAACAACAGCAGATTAGTCTTTTAATGTTTTGTTTGGTTATCAATTAATAAATATTGTAATGAGGCCTTGCTTATTAATAAAGGTCTTCTACAACGCTTAAAGATTTTAGACAAACAAGTTTTAGTCCGGTGGTTAGTGGAATAAATGTGAAGAATGTGCCTACGGTGATAAACGTTTCACTAACCCAAGACGAAAGAGGCAGCCAGCATGCCGCCATGACGGCCTTTAAAGGCTGGTCTGTTTCTCCAGTCAACATAGCCTTCCCATTTGTCTAACTCCTCATCCTACAATAAAAATCAAAGGAAATTTATAAAAACAAATTGTAAATATGAGGAAACCAAGACCCAAAACAAGAAATGAAATGAAGAAGAATAAGGCAGGAGTTCCACCATCTCTTTGTTTGGGTTTTGATTATAGGACACTTGATCAGAAACTTTTCCAACTTAAGAGGGAGTGATGGTTGGTGTCATATTTATATACGTGGAGGATGGCAGTCTCCAACTGGAATGGAAAAGTCTAGACTGGATGAAAATGACTATACATGCTCATCGACCACTTTTCCCTAACAATGGTGGTGTAATTTGTCCTATCCCAATCTGTACGTGAGTGCATGCATACACCTCTGTCTGTTTCTCTCTCTCTCTCTCTCTCTCTCAGAGACACACACACACACACACATCCTACATACCCATGATGTTCTCTCTTCCCCCGGTGTATGTGTGTGTGGGAGAGAGATATACGCTTTTATACTAATCCTAGATTCACTTCTTCAGAACAATATGTGTTGGAATTTAGAAATATGACCAAGAAAATATGACTCAAATCCTCTTGTCAATGTAAGTATATGTTTTCTCACCTTGTAATTAACTTAAGTATCCTTTTCTGAGTTTGGGTTGGGGTACTGGGACTGGCAGTGCATTTTACCCAAAAATAACAGTTCGAAGAAAAATTGTATTTGTTTATAGTCTTGTAAACAGATGGAAGAGTTTGATGTTTTTAAAAGGTGGAAAGACTTGCGAAAGGGGCATGGAATTTGAGGTATTGATTGGCTGAACAGAAGGTGTGATGTGATAACTGTTCCACATATATGCAGCATCAGGGAATTGAGATTACATGTTGAGATGAGATTTCATGTGTCTTAAAATGAGGTCATGATAACTGTGTCAAGTACTTGTAGGTAAAGTTAAAGTTTAGTTTCTTAGATGCAAACACTACACCTGTCCTGATACTTACTCCGACAAACACTCACTATGTTGTGGTGAGACCACTGTGTCTTTTATCTAATCTCCATATATCCAACTTTGTCTTCTTGCCCTGTCTTATCTATCTAATTCTGATCTTATGAAATTTTTTAATGGGCACTGGATCAGTAAATCAAGGCCATTTATCATGACTATGGCTCCAATTCAAGTGATATCTGATAAAAAAAAAGAAGTGATATCTGTCATTTATTATGTCCATAGGGATCTTTATCGATCCACACATGATTCCTCTTCCTGCTGCTGGAGTTATCTGACTTAATGCCAATTCATGATGTGGTGATCTATGGTTCCTCTGTGTGGCATGTACAGTTTTTATCTCTTGATCCTTCAAATGGGTGGATATAATTAGCCCAAAAAATTGTGGGGTTCATGATCTTACAGATCTCCAAATTGGATTCCAGGAGTCCCTTCATGATCGGTCCTGCCCATTTAGCATTTAGTTCCATGTATTGCCTTTATGTTGTATGTTGTAGTACATTTTACACACCGTTTCTTTTTTTTTTTTTTTTTGGGGGGGGGGGGGGGTTGAACGGGGTTCGTTGGGGTAATAAAAATGAACAGTTCCAGCCATACCCAGCTTTTTACTAGGATGAGAAAAATTGTAAAAGCTACCAGTTTGTTTCTTTGTCTTTGATTAAAATTTGAGGATGAAACTGGGGAGAAAAGAATTGTCCTTTTCATTGTGTGGTGGAATAAAAATAATGAGAATCTTAATCTATCTTTTTTGGATAGACAGGAATATTATTAAGATTAATGATGCATTGGGTAGTTGGTGGCTGCTGTTCTTGGGAGATGAATGGAATCAATCTTGAATTTTCCTTGTCCTTGCAGTTGATATCCAAAACTTCTTCAAATTCATAGGTTTTCTCAGTCAATAAAAAGATTCTTATTCTCTGATCTTTAGAAAGTAGTAGTCTTGTTTTGCCTCATGTAAGGAAGAATAGAATAATTCTAATGATATTCTATGCATTTGTGTGTATTCTTTTTAGATTGTCTAGAGTTTCTTTTTGAGACATGGTTCCACCAGGATTTAATATATTTGTGACTGCCAAGGGCTTTTAAATAAGTTATGAATTTTTTGAATCATGTGCAAGGTTCAATGATTTTTACAAGTTCTTTGTGTTAGATCATCCAACTCAAAACCGATTGACAATGAGTGGAGAAACCCCAAATATTGATGTTAGATAAAACTCTCCTTGCATTGTAAACCATGCAATTCATCTTATTTTCATATGCTTGCTAGTTTAAATAAAGAGCACAATAGAGGCCTTATGTGATGAAGACCTGGACTAATGTCCACTTTAGACGTAGGTATAGATAAAAAAGAAGAAGCCCACTTTAAACCTAGAGTCCACTGACCACCTTTAGGTGCTTCGTAAGTCCATTGGGTGAAATAAAAGAAGTATTTAACTTACTATTGCATATTTGCAAAGGTAAGAGCTTGCTCTGTCAGCAAAAATTTACAATGTTTGATTACTCCAGATCATTTCAGGGTTCACTTCCTCTTCATACAAAACTGGGTGAACAGAAAATGACTGTTAGCTTAGCTCCTCTCCCTTTCTAGCATGCATTAGTCAGTATCCTCATTAAAAGCAGAATAATTTTCTTGAATAATTTTTATTTTTTGGTTAGTAAATTGATCATTTGCTTGAATAATTTTTTTATTGACTACAATGGATATTGATTATTCGAGGACTGACTCGTAGTTTTTCAAAACCAGTTTTATTTGACATTGGAGAGAATTCTAACCTTTGGTGATGTGCTACATCGTACAGGAGTGCACATGCAACAAACTGGGCACTTTGGGTTTCAGATTTGATGGTCCAAAATCATGTAGTGGTGTTGGACACTACATAATGCTTGCATCCATGCCGAAGGTGCTATAAGGCTTCTTTGAAGGGCCAGGTCGGTCCAGGTTGAGTATGCATCCCTAACTCTTTTAAGTCTCATTTCATGGTAACTTATCACCACCCACCTTACTTTTAGCCACATAAAGATAAAGTGACCTTGATAGAATATGCTCTTGTGCTATGGACGCAGCAAGTCCAATTCTCTTGTTGCATGCCTGTGCTAGTGGAACCCAATCTGAGCATGCCGGGTCCAAGGTAGGAAGATTCCAATGCTGATTTGAAGGCTAGAGACCCAATCTGTTTCCAAGTTTGGAAGATTCCTCATTCCCCTGTTGAAATGAAGGCCCCTGTTAGGGGGTTTACCTTCTGGAATGGACTCCTATTATGTACTGTTAATTTCGAGGTGGACCCTACCAAAAATGTTGGTTGGTTTAGAGTTGAAGAGGGCCTCTACATTGGAAGCAAAGCATGGAACATTCTAGTAGTTGTGAAAAAAAACTAAAAATTGTCATTGGATGGGTTCTGAAATGGGGAAGATCACTCTAACAGGAGCTACTAGATTGATGTTTTATACAGTGAGTTTCAAGATATATTTACGAAGTGGGCATCCACTAAACTTTTGTAATTAGAGTCTAGAGATCGTCAAATGTAGAGAATCTTATGCGAGCATGCTGAGAGATTGGACTCGAATGATGCTTAAATCAGAGTGAAATAACTTTCCCGTTGAATCAAATCTCGCCCTCAATCACAGGTTCATGTAATGTCAGATGAAAAATTTGTCAGCGTAGCTTCAAAGTTACCCTGTAACATCAGTCTAGGAAGATCTCTTGCAACTTGCAAGGCAAATTGGCAAATCATAGAAATAGTACAGACCAATCTCCCTCAGAATTGTTGGGTTGAAGAAGATGTGGGCAAAGCATGTGATTGGTCGGTGGGAAAAAAAAAAAATCGTCCACAGAGAATGGTAGTCATGGGACCAAATATGCACCATGTTACTGCAGAAAGAGGGCACCCCAGTTGCACCATCCCCAAATCCTGAGGTGGCTAAGCACATTTCCAAGGGACGGATGAGAATTGCTTCTCTCTTAGTGCCCATTACCCTGACATAGGGCGGTTCTGAATCCAAGCCTGCCCATTCAATAGGTTGCTATGATTTTTTTTTCTTCAAAGTTTAGAGTGTTGATATGATTTTTTTTTTACGCGCATTTCAACTAATTTACTTTTTAGTTCAATTAAAGACAGACTATTCACATCCAAACTAGGGTATTCATGGCCTGCCTCGAAGGGGACAACTCGTTTTTGTTATCACCTGTTAGAATAATTTGGATGAAGAGATTCTGGGGGTATTGCTTAAATGTTCAAAGTTTGATTCTCGCAAGGGAGACCTAGTTTGCTTGTTGTGCATTGTATATGGATGAATATGTAAATGTGGAGATTATAGTTACAATGCCAAATAACATAGAATTGGCACAATTCCAAAGGCTTTAGGTGGTATTTCCTAAATGTCCAAAGTTAGATTCTCGCATCAGAGTTCTAGTTTGTGCGATGTATATGTTATGTGGATCTTGAGGTTACATTGTATCACAATTCCAAACAACATATAACTTCGATGAATTTCTGTTAGAAGAAAATAAAGAAAAGGGTTTGGATTTGTCCACAAAAAGGGTTGTGGACCAATACATGAATTGATGCATTGTTTTTTTGAACCATTTGTATCAATATGGTCAGCAGGTTGTTAAGAGGCCTTATTGACTTAGGGGATGGACCCTATGAGTCATGTTGCCCATTCTAAAGGGCGGTATGAGTTGCATTTTTCAATAATTTTATATGGTGCATGTGAGATAGAGGGACTGTATATATCAGAAGAATTAGCCAGATGTTCTAAGAGGTTCACACAATTTCTTCATGAAATATAAATAACTGATCATTAATTTGTTGTGTCTCTACAGGCTTGTAAGTTTCAATCATTTCCACCATGTAATTTGATCATTTCGTTTGAAAAGTGAAATCTTCCTTAGATTTTCATTCCTCATGCATTCTTAACTCTCATCTTCTAGGGCTTACAGTTATAGGGTGACATATTTCTGAGACACTGTAATTTTAGGGCCGATCCCTTTAAGAAGGAGTTCGTAAAAAATTTAAGATCGGACACCATGATAAAAGACTATCGCCATGGCAGTATATGCCACGAATCTTCCGGACGGTCAAAAAAATTATGTGTATGTAAAAGCCCATGAAAAAGAAATACCCAATGGTGGTCCAAACCTGCCTAACATTTCC